CAAAAACAAATCGTTACATATGAAACACCAAGAGATCATCCAAAAATGCACTCTACCTTGTCCGTGTTGCTGCTAGCACGAGCTGTTCCAATGACATTCCAACCAGCTTTTACGTAGTGCTCGACGAACGTAAGTCCAATGCCTCGAGTGCTGCCAGAGATGAGAACAGTCTTTTTACCGGAGGCCATAATGTTTCAGGATATTTGATGAGCTTGTGAGGTTGAACGTGATTTGGAAAATGATAAGATGAGATATCACGCTTTGAGTTTCTCTATATCTGAATTAAGGTCTTGTAAGAAGATTGAAATCAGATTACGCATTCAAAACTTGAATAATATCCAACTCCAGACACAAGTCGTTTTTATGTGTGCTTTTTGTGGATTCTGGATATAATTGTTAGGATCGGAGTCTAACGTCATTCAATGACGTTCTGAGAAACAACTTTCAAGACTTTGAACGTCAGTTCGGGCGATCTCAACGGATAGGCATGAGTTGAATTTATTTTAGTGCTTAGTCTACACAGAGAAATTTATAACTTTATGAGCTAATTTTAAGAATGGAAAGCGAGCCTAGAAGTGAAGGATGTGCTACAGAGTCCAAGCGAGTCTGTACTTATGATACCTAAACTCGTCTATGGTTGATGGCAAGATGCTCATATAAATACTCCTTCGCCTTCCCAGACCTCGCCATTTCATGTGCGATGGGGATGTTTGTAAAAAAAAATGTCTGCCACTAACATCTAGAATCCTGTCGTGTTTGATCTTGCACTTCCGAAGATCTGATGATGAGCACAACTTGTCTCTGTCTATCTACGACGTGTGACTGCGCTGTAGCCACAAGCTGAAAGTTCTTCTCGTCTCGGTTCTCTCCAAACGATGATGTTACAACCGCTGCAACACGATTTGAAGAAATTTTCAACAACAGACCTGGTTTTGCTGTCAAAGGGGGGCAACTCGTATGATTTGTAGATCATGACCACAAATATTAAGACATCTCTCCTATGCTACGAAACTAAGAGGCGTCAACGCAGGAGGGGTCACGATTTTTATGCCATGCGTCTCAGTTGCAATAAAATTAGTAGTTTCTGTAAATAGTTATTGCAATCTTGGTGATGAAAGCTATTGTGACCTTAAGGTAGACATCAATCGTCTTCGTGTACGATCAAAGTTTGACAGCAATTAAACTTCCATGCCATGATTGCGAATCAATGATTTCTTCCGATCATGTGCAGTGCAAACCTGCTGTTTATGCGACAAAGCGCATTGCAGAAATATAGAGTGGGTTTGGTGTTTAAGCCTTTAGAACTTAAAGCTACTGGTGACAAAAGGGATGACAATGATGCTACCGTACGCTACACATCTCGACATATTGCTTTAGAGTGGCTGCAGACGTGTGATGTCGATGATTTTAAATTGTTTTCACCGGTTGCTAGCATGATCACAGCCAGAATTCATAGTAGTGTGGTGTTGCGTCGACTACTCTGTCAAGCAGCACGATATTTTTTAAAAGAGTCCTTGACAACTCTGTGTACATGATAGTTACGATCAATAGGAAAGAACCTTAATGATACTGTCTATCTAAGCATCTATGGACACAAACAAGCGGCAGCCGTCTGACACTATACAATTTGATGCAATGTGAATTTGTTTAGTGTGCTACTGCCAATTACCTGGTTGTGAAGCGATCTAGCCATGCGCCAACGCTCTGTATGTTGCTTATATTCTTATCGTTGGCTACTTGAGGGAGTGGCCTAAAACGTACGTCGAAAGCAGGTAAAACACTTTAGTTAGAAGTCACTGTTAGAAGGAGTTGTGGGGGGCAACACGATCCATTGAAAGTATGGTGGACAGATTCAGTCACAATGACGGATGCTAAATGCGCAGTCTATCTGTGCTTTCAGACAAGATTTACAAGCGAAAATGGAGCTATGCTTGATGCAGTGAAGCTAGTTCGTGGGTTAACTGGCTCGATAGTTTATGAAGCAAATGCTACTCGTCGAGATTTGCGTGGCGACTGGAGCACTTTTGCGCTTTCAAGCCGATCCCTGTGAGAAGCATTGACAGGCTGGTGCCCAAATCATTCGCATCTTAAAGTAGTAGTAGTACATAAATTAAGATTTCTGCGAATTCGAAATTGCATGCAGTTTTGTTGCGTTATGTGAAGCGAGTCGGCTTGGCGTCGATCTATATCCAGAGTTATACTCGAAGTTGTCGGTGCACCCATACATTACAAGTGCGAATTACAACAGACGGTAGTTTGTATTCCGCGCAAACGCAGTACATATCGATGGCTTTGGGAGCTCATGACGCAGCGAGGTATCGCGATTTGCTTCAAGCAATGGAGCTCAAGTAAAAACAGCATTGTAACAAATCATGACTACACACCATGAGCCACGCAAGTTGATAGCCGAGCTCAATTCGTGCGAGATCGCTCGCTGGTATTCCTTTGCGCCGTGGCTTCTATCGGTTGTTCCGTTCTACCAACATCAAAACTCAATTGGTCTACGTCCATGTCACCGTAAGTATGGATTAATTTTTCGCTCTTTTATTGGACGCGTCCGGTTATACCGGTCTCGTAATATCATAAACCGTCTGAGCAAGATGGCTGTCAACTATAATATAACCCAATGGGAATACAGACAAGCTGTTCTTTAACAAAATATTATGCTAGAAATGCATGTCAATAGACATTTTATCGGATAGCGATCCGCTCATCTCAACAAAGCCTTGGTAAATAATTTTTAAAGTACTTGGCACCAGATTGGATTTGTGAGCTGCAGACCATTGGCAAACAGATGGCCAAACGGAGCGAATGGATGCGTTGTGGAGGATATCTCCTTAGGCACTTGCGCGAAGTGACTGCGGTGCTGAAGCGAGTTGATCTCACTTGTCGAGTTTGTGTTGATAAATGCAATGCATACCACTACACACGTTTAATAGATGGCTTGTTAAAATCCGGGTGCATTTGACATCACCACAAAGTGGCTTCGGTATAATTGCAGGGAAGGATCCATCAATTCGACTCAGCTCGATAATATTAGCCTGAGCAGACTTCGCAGTCAGTTACCGAATTTTATTCGGTGAGACAGAGCACAGTGGGTGGGATGCGCGAAGCTATGAATCCTGAGCCAGGACGTCAAGAAGAACTATCTCAGCACCAGAGGTAGGCAAAATATCTACAAATACGTAGTGGGGCCAAATACTTTTTGAATGTAATTTTCAACCTACACCCGTAGCTTTTGCCGTCTACAAGACTAATTTGCTAGTGCGCTACATAGGATCGTTCACGATCGTTCCGAAAAAGTTATTAGTTTATATTCAGCTCGCATACCAAAGATAATGCGAACAGATGGAGTGCCACTGAAGCCACACCACGATTCCTATCTTCCGAGGCAGTCGGATGTGAGCGATTGTCTTTTCGACAACGCATAAACTCTATCACACCTACAGCTAAGCCACCATCTACCTCAAGCCGCGACGTGGATAGCCGTTGGACCTCTTTAAGCTGCACAGTGCGAGGCAAAACTTCGACAACTCGTTGAGAAATATGCATATTTCTATCCGGGAAAATGTCTAATGGCAAGCCATGTTGGCAAAACACTTTGTCGAGGATCCTCTTATCGGTATTTCCACCCGTTATATTTTCGTTGACAGCAGCGAGATGAGCCATCTTGCTAAGGTGGTCTACGATATTACGAGACCGGTGTCATCAGGCGCAGCTTTTAGAGGACAGAGAAATAAATGGGCTCTCTATCTTCTGTCGGAACCGGTAGGGTGGGTCAAAGGTGCCGTCAGGTTTGAATTGCTGGCACGACTCACATGTGCATATTTGTGTGATTACCCACTGATGCATATGGTAACCAATACATAGCCTTTACCAAGCAGTCTGTGCCTTCTCTATCAAGAAATGTGCGAAGAAATATACTTGGCAGGAAAGGTGACTATCTGCCATTCTTTTCGAGAGAAGTGGCGATGACGTCGCTGTTTGCATCAACGCATGAATAGCACTGATCGTAAACGGCATGGAACCAAGCAAGTGCATACTCAACTTGACGTGAGTATGCTACCTTGCAAGTAGCTCCTTGTCATGAGCAAGACATTAATTCTCGGTAACTTTCAGCTGGTACGACTCAAACGCGATTACGCTTTCATGTCCGTTAGCATCTGCTTAGAGTAAAACGCAGCCTATTAAAACTGCTAGAGCGTTACACGACGTGAAGTGGCCGATCTAGATTTGGAAAAGTTAGAATTGGGGGGCGCATGGATCTTTTTCTCGCAGCCGCAAAGACAACTGCTTCTACTACGCCTTAGCACTACCTAAGACTCTTTTTAAATGTATTGGTGAGGGGCTGTGCCATGTCGACATAGTTTGCACTCATTGTGCAAGTAACTATCCAGGCTGGATAGTTTGGCCAAGCCACGCCCTCAAATTCCTTTAAGATAGAGACACAGATCAAACTACAATGGCCATTATCATTGTTTGATCTTCTGCACGCCGTGCGTACCGCATATGAGATGGGGCAAATGATCTCTCAAACAGTTTGTGGTTGCTGCTATGGGCACTACGTTTAAGCTGTGAGAAACTATATAATATTTATAAAAAAATCGATGATTTTCACGTCTACAGACTGTCGAGTGTCCAATGGACGACATTTTTCTAAGGATTTGATATAAATTTTGCGGAGGATTTAATCGGTTTCCTGCATTCCCAACAACAATCAGAGCGTGAATTTACCAGCGAGACCAAACGAACATTGACATTCACGTATTTTGCCTTCACTGTAGGAAGTATGAGCTAACTAGCATTTCAAGCTGCACTTTACAACACTACATCGAACTGGTTGTGTTGTCGGACTGCTTCTCGTGCTCATGTCGAAGCTATTGTAACAGTCTTTGATGATTGTGACGACGATTGATAAACTTCACTAAATGAGCAATTCATCGATAGCCACGCTACGAAAACATTGCCAAGAAGCTGACGATAAAAACGCGCTGAGTTTCCATTGTCGTCACGAGTCAGTCGTACAATTTGCTCGCCGTCAATGCTAAATTGGGAGGCGTCAATGAATGACGAATTGACATCCAGGATTGCGGTCACATTCCAAAAAAAATCATTTTGGGCAGAGATTCGTCAACGGAAATCCGGAAGACCGAATTTACAAAATCCATCGCAGGAAATCCATCACAAGAAATATTTTTTTTTCTTTAAGTAGCGTAATAACGCGAAGATATCGGCGATAGAAGGTAAATGTTTCAATGTCAAATTTTGATATATTTCAACACGTCTCGACACTTTAATCCTTTATGTGCTTGAGAATGAAAACGTATAGGATTAGGCTCTTTATTAGAGCTAGACGGATAACGGAAAGATTCGCTGATGTTTCCAACTCTTTTGATCTGTTGATGATTAATGCACAACATTCTTTGGAATTACAACAAAATGACTGAAAAGCTGTTATTAAAGCAGTTAATCAGACTGACTGAATGTACTCAAGATTACTACTACCATGGGATCTCCGAAACAGGGGAACTCGGGTCCAAGTCGAAAAATTTGCCCGAGCTTTCAGCTTTTAGCTCAGCAATGAACTTGGTCATGGCCGCCACACTGTCCGAAGGCTTCA